CAAAGCCTTTTAAACTTGTGAATTTTGGCCCCCAATCCCTTGAGTGAGCCGAGTTTCACTCGGCGCTCGAGCTCGGTTTATGCAATGGATTTTCAGCTTACTCACCACCGTCGGTCCGATATGGAATGCAATTAAACTATATGATCCTAAACTATATGCTATGCAAATTTTGATATTTTTGTTTAGGGGTTAAAATTTAATCCCTAATTTTCTATGCAATTAATCACTAAATGATGTGCCAAAATTTAGGTGTCAACACGTAGGTAGGCTCAACACCATATAAGTAACTTTATTAAAACAGACAAATGCATTTCACATGTGACCTTTTCTTAGCATGTGTACTCGCCTGTTCCCAAGAAGTTTGTGAAGCCTGATGATCATATCGACCTCATCGTCTTGGAATTTCCCTCTCTTGATGTTAGGGTTCAGATAGTTCAACCACCTCAATCTGCAGCTCTTCCTGCACCTATTCAAACCTACAAGCTCAAGAAAAATGAACGTGAACTGAGCAATCTCTTTCTCTCTCTCTCTTTGCGTGATGTGTATACATAGTACCGGGAAAAAGTGTCAAAAAAGTTCTAAACCTTTTGTAATGATGCCAACTGAGTCCTAAATCTTTTTTTTATGCCAATTGAGTCCAAAACTTTTTTTGGTGCCAATTGAGTCTTAAACCTTTGTCTTTGTGCCAATTCAGTCATTCTGGCTAATTTTGGCTGGATTTTGTTGACGTGGAAGCCGGCCGGCCGGCAGCCGATCGCCGGCGCTGACGTGGACAACTTTTAAGAATATTTAAATATTTTTTTGAATTTTTACCTTTTTTTTCCTTTTTTTTCTTTCCCCACCCTCCCTCCTCCGGCCGGTCACTGGCCTCTGGCGAGTCTCACCATGGCTGGGCGAGGCTCGACCTCGCCAGATCCGGCGAGGTTGTGCCTCGCTTAGCTACCGGTGAGGCTCGAGCCCTCGCCGTCGCCCTCGCCCTCGCCCTCGCTAGAGGCCGCGACCAACCATAGCGAGGCTCACCTTCGCCTTCGCTGGTGAGGGCGAACCTTGCCAGTGGCCGACGAGGCTCAGCAGAGGCAAGGTTGTCCTCCTCGCTGACCTCTGGCCGGTCGCCGGTCCAACGACCGGCTGGAGGAGGGTGGGTGGGAGAGGAAAAAAAAAAGTAAAAAGTAAAAAAATTTCAAAAAAATATTATTAAAAGTTGTCCACGTCAACGCCGGCCGGTTTCCACGTCAGCAAAATCAGGCCAAAATTAGCTGGTAGGACTAAATTGACATAAAGATAAAATATATCGTTTGCAAGCAAGGATCGCTCTTCTTGATACAAATCGAGAACTCAAGAAGTTTCACTTAGAGAAGTCAAACTTGATTTGACCTGATGCTATCATCTCGAAACTGATCGTATGAGACATCCACTCATTTTAACGAAAGAAAAACTTTGCACTCCAGTAAGAATATTTTGGTGATAACACGAATATTCGACAAAAATCAAATATAATGACCCGACACGAATTGCCAAGCTTAGATCCAAGTGGGCTATACGGATTCGGATGCTCCAAGAAAATAATGGTCTCCATCCTCATACAAACTTATGCGTGCACACATATATGCAAATAAAAAGCAAGAATAATCTTCAAATACAATGATACAGTACCTGCTCTATGAGGAACTCGATGCCACGCTCCTTCTCCGTACCTTTGGATACAGCTCCTCAAGAGAACATCTTCCTCTTCCGTCCACGATCCTTTCCTCACTCCGAGCAACGAACCTTTCTGCATCCCTCTCTCTCTCTCTTTCTCTCTCTCTCTCTCTCTCTCTCTCTCTGTGAAGCTGTCCCTGAACAGTTTGCAGATCATGTTTTTAAGTACACTCGAAGTCCAACGTTGCCATCGGTTCTTTTAGGAGCCACGTGCCCCTTTGCTTTTCACAAAAACGCAGATGTACGTCGGTGTCTAATACCGAGGAAAGAATGCAACCGTTCTCTTCTCTTTGTCAATCATTATCATTTGCGATAGTACAAATGGATCTCCATTTCAATATGATTCTTTTCGCGTGGCTGCGTCCATTCAATCCACAGGATCGAATCTTGGAACGAAAATCTTTTTAAAGAGCTAGAAAATCGATAGGGGACTTCGAACGATTCAAAGAAATCATATTCCTTTTGCAATGAAAAGAAAAATATAAAATAGCTCGTATGGTACTCCCGGCTTGATCGTCCTAGCATTGCTGCGGACCACCATTTTGTATGGATTGTTTCCTAACTTACATTCTTTGAGCTAGTTAACGCTAACCATCGAGTTTTGCCATTTTACATAAATATAAAATGGATAAAGTTCGCATGAGGCCGAATCACCTATGATTTGCTTTGATGTCACTTGGCAAACCTCATTTGCTTATTTACAAGGGCCATTGCTTTTGGTCAAAGTATCTTAATAGTGTCCTTTCGCCTGTAAAAGCATCTTAAATAATGACGCGATCCTTTATGTCTAGCGATCATTGTAGTAGCGTGCTTGAATTGTTACAATTTTACCTTTGGCTCCGCCTATATAAGAGCAACTTATTTCAGAAGTTGGAACAAGATTAGTGTTTTGAAAATCTCTTCTATATACAATTTCCTCTTGGCCTTCTAAGCACTTTCTCTTCAACCTCGAAGTTTGATGTTATTAAGAAGCTTAAGGTTACACATTAGTTCAATACAATAAAATTGGTTCCGCAAGTGTGCTCTCTACTTGCCACTGGATCAGTGAAGTAGGATATTTCGAAACTGAGAGGCTTATAATATAGATTAATGATTTCTAGAGACTAAGAGACAATTCCTTTGAAAAACCGAGAGAAAGGCCGTATATTGTGGGATAGCATAACTGTCTCAGAAATCATTAGCTTATTCTATGGCCCCATCATTGTTTCAGAGCTAGCATCATCTAGATTGAGCTAAGATAATAAGTCAATGCCTTATAATGTGTCAGTATTAAGAGGAAGATCCATTCCATCATGACCGAATCTATAGAAAGTACTACTCCTGTATATGTCGATGCCCCTGTTATTTTAGACTCTCCAATCCCATTCCGTAAATCTACTTCCTCTAAGATCGATTATTTTTATGAGGTTTCCTACCTCAACGAAGATGGAAGATCTCCACTACTCAACTTCCTCTCGTAAATCTATACTCCGCCTTTCCTAAGCCTGCTTCCTTCTCTCCCATCAAATCCATTAGAAAACCGATCCACCTTCAAAGGACATTGAAGAATACATCGAGTCAACCCACTTTGACCGACACTCCATTCCAGTTTATTAAAATTATATCTCAACTTTGAGCCTATCGAATAGACATGATCCAAAGCATATATACGAATAATTTAAGTCCATTTTGGACTTTCATGAGGTCTTCGATTTTTTTTTTGCTTCCAACTTTGATTCTATCTGCATACGTAGAAGAAAGAAGCAGTATAAGGGTTACAACATTAATTTCTTTAACTCTCACAAACTGCGAATGGGTTTCATTTAAGTTTGGCCATAGGAGAGAGATTTGTTCTTCAGCCACATATCATGTGAGAGATTTGTTGTTTTCTGTTGAAAATAAATGAGATGGTATACTTTTACAAGGCGCAACGGAGACAGCTATCCCCTTCACCCTTCACGCACGGTGGACATCCAGACCATGGCATTTATTGAAGGGGGCCTTCCGGCAATGATGAGATACCTTGTCTCACCTTTAGGAGAAAAATATTGCCCCGAGTGGAACACTCCACGTAGGCAATACATAACTTCACGGAACGCGTGACACGTAGGAAGCGAGCCCCACAGATCAAATTTATTAAAAAATCTGACCTTTTTCCTTCTCTCTCATCCTCCGTTAGCTTCGCCGCTACTGCTCAAATATTCACTTTTCACCTGGTTGCTCTCTCCCTCACTCCTCCCGCTCAAATTTCTCCCGCTCCTGACCTCCTCTTCCTCTGTCCGCGACTTTGCCTCCTTCGGTCGTGAACCCGCCGCGCCTACGCCGGTTGCCTCCGCCGTCCCCTTCCAGAAAGCCCATCTGCTTTCTCTCACTTTCCTTCGTGAAGCGCGGCTCTTTTTGTGGACCGCACCTCCACCTCCGCCGGTTGCCTCCGCCGTCGCCTCCCGGGGCCCATCGGTGGCTCAGATCCCGACCACGCGGCCGCCTCCGCCTACGCCGTCGCCTCCGAAGCCCCCCAATGGCGATTCGTCCTCTGCCCTTCTCTCTCTGTCCCGAGAAACGGCTCCGCTCGGCTCTCTGTGACGAACCGCGCCTCCGCCGTCTCCTCCCGAAGCCCCTTTGGCAAGCCCTCGGCGGAGGAGCTGGCGCTGGTGGTCGTGCTGGTGGGGTCAAGGTGTGCGCGTTCGACAATCGCGGCACGGGCCGGTTCTCCGTACCCGCGGACAAGTCGGAGTACACGTGAGTCCGATGGACGCATACCGTGAGCTTTCTAGTTCGTTTGAGTGTGTTCTGCTTCGTGGAGTTTCTTGAATCGGGAGCGTATGCACAGGAGAATGGTTGCCAGTTGGTGCATAGCTGAAATGGAGCTTCAGCTTTCCTTGGACTAATCGTGGACATTGGATGGCTTTCCTAGTCTTTTAGTTTGATGATAGTTTGGTGCTGTTCCAAAAACTTTTTAACGAAAATTGACTTTGACTTTCGATGTGATTTCTGGAGCAGGACGAAGATTATGGCGAAAGATGCGATTGCTGTACTCGATCACATGGGAGGGGAAAGAGCCCATGTCATTGGCCATTCAATGGGTGAGTTTTGAATGACCCAAATTTCATGGATGCTTATTTGGCTCTGTGGTTCATATGAGAAACTGAAACAACCATTCTGATTGCAATTTCTGGATGCCTGGATTTATCTAGCCAGTTTTTTAAACTTAATAACGAACTAAAAATCGCATCCATGACATGTCTGCCTGTGAGTCCAGATCGGGTTCCTGTTTGTTTCAAGGTGACTAACTGCCCTCTTTGGCTGTCAAAACAGGAGCTATGATTGCTTGCAAGTTGGCTGCCATGGTGCCCAACAGAGTTTTATCTTTAGGGTTGCTCAATGTGACTGGTGGAGGTTATGAATGTTTCCCAAAGGTATTGCATCCATTTCAGTATGCGATGGTCCTTCCTTTGAATAGAGATTGACATTTTTCTCCATGCAAACTAAAAGGGGAAAGAATGTTCTTCCCGGTTTCTTTTATCACTAAAAGAACTATTTGTTTGTGTGGGTGTTCGCTGTTCAGTACTTTACAGACAGGTTGTTCATTCATCACATTTTCACGAGGACCAACCAAGATATATAGGTGATTCGAAAGAAGCAGTTATCACTGTAAAGAAGTATTAGTTCCTGATTTAGTGGAATGGTTTGAGTGTCGTTCTCTCAACTCTAAATTTCCTCCGACAGTTACAAATGCTTGTTGCAAACAGTGTAATTCTACTTCAGAGATGATTAAGATTTCTCTATTATATTCGATTGAAATCAGTGTCATTTGGCAAAATGTTGGCGATTTTGCTGTATGTTTACCTTGTTGTATGCAGGCATGACGTTGTTGCTCAAATATGCCATGCAAGGAGTCTGGTAGAGAAATTAAAGCCTGTTGCTAGAATGATAGAGCTTGATGGAGGGCACCTAGTGAGTCATGAGAGGACTAAAGAGGTAGTTTATTTGAACAATAATTGGAAAGCTAGATACTGTTTTTTTAGAGGGCAGTTTTTCTGGCACTACTACATGCTTGCTCCATGATAATTTATAGAGGGCAATTAGGTTTTCGGAGTGCACTGGACAAACATGTGAATAAGTTGGATGAAATCATTCTAGACGGTTATCTTAGTGCTTATAGGTTTTGTGCTAATTATCAATGAAATGGATATACTTTAATTCTTTCAATTGACTTGTTGTGTGTATGAATTGAGATCAGAAGGAATTCGTAAAGTTTATTCAGACTTGAGAGGTTTTTAGATGCGGCTTTTGAACATATTATTGCAGTCCAGAGTTTCTCAAAAATGAGGGAATCACATCAAACTATTTCGGTATTTTGGTCATACAAGTTGATATAATTGTTTGGGCTTGATTGTTGAACTGCAAAAGATGGATTGAAGCTATGCTCATGTTCAGGTTAATCAAGCTCTTCTCGAGCTGATCAAGGTATCAGAAATGAAGGTTGTCCAGCATTATTGGACTGACTTGCCTAACAATAGCCCTGGTGAGTATTTCCATACTCAGAATGATATGCCGGTCTCATTTATTCATTCTCTGAAGCATTTGTGCACGTTAGAGAATCCCGAGATCGACCTTGTCTTCAAACTTTTTGATGAAAGGATGACTCTAAAATGACGAAAGAATTCATTGTCTTAATGACGCCTTATGCAAACTGTGCTAAATATAATTGGGAATGCGGTGAAGTTCACAAAGCAAGGCTACGTATCAGTTGTAGCTTCCATTGCAAAACCAGAGTCATTAGCGGAGTGGCAACCACCCGATTTCCATCCAGTCTTTAGCAATGCCCACTTCTACCTGAGAGTGCAGGTTGATGGCTTTTGCAGTTTAACTTCATTTAGCATGTATAGATTGTCCTTTTGAGCAAAACTCCTTATCTTCATCTCTCTCTCTCTCTCTCTCTCTCTCTCTCTCTCTCTCTCTCTCTCTCTCTCTCTCTCTCTCTCTCTCTAGGCTTGCTATATATTGCTCTGCTTCACGTTCTCTTGCACTGATAAATTTGAATTACAGCGCATACCATATCAGAAAACATGGCTATCTTTTGCAAAAATCGATCTGTCTTATCATTGTCTTAATGACGCAACTGACTTGGATTCTCATAACAGGTTAAGGACTCTGGCTGTGGCATACAGCCACAAGATATTTCTCAAATATTTACCAGATTTATTCATCCTCGAAGTGGATCTAATCGAGGTAGTGGCGGTGTAGGACTTGGACTTGCCATTTGCAAAAGGTAGATTGCACACTGCTTAACGCTTTTGCTCAAATTGCAACTTTCTTTTCTTGTGTAAGCATATATGGTCCTTTGGACGCTTTACTGATTGCTAGTTCCTCAAGCATATGAAGCCCTATTGTCTCATGCACACTGAACCGTGAGTCAGAATGTCCAACCTTGGGAGGGCTTCAAATGAGTTCAGTTGAGTCAGGAAAGATCTATGGATCTTTGAACCTTAAATTTTATGCTTCTCGAAGCATAATATCAAATAGCAACCTGCGAGGTTGTGGATTGATTTATTTGCAGTGGTTACTATTTTAGTTTTCTGACCCCTTTTGGACACTCAGAGATAATTTTCTCGACCCTTTTGTCTACTAAAGTTTGCAAGCCACCGGATGAAATTGCATTATCTTGGTTTTGTGATATGAGATCTCGCCCACTCTCCTTTTCATGATTTTAGATTTATAAATCTCATGGGAGGTCACATATCCATCGAGAGTGAACGCCACGACAAGGGCACCGACGACACTTTTATTGGCAAACTACAGAAATGCAGCAATGCAAATGACTCGGCAGCACACAAGATCACACATAGAGCTCAGTCTAGTCATGGTTTGTGCCAATTTTGCTCGGCACAAACCTCACAGAGATACTGACAGAACGGTCCCCTCTAACTCCCAGTATCAAAGAAGTTTTTGAAGTCTCGAATGCAAGTTGGCATATCCCAACGAGGTCTTCCCAAGATATCGTTCAGGTGAAAAATGGGTACTAACTGCGTAATCTCTCTTCATCTTGGAGGCATGCACATCTTATACTTGAGTGATACTTCAAAGCATCAACTTTATGTCTTGATTAGAGAGGTCTCGAGGTTGCGAGTAAGAAGTCGTATTTGTATGATCCAGTAATTGTTCAGGCCCTTCTATTTTTTTGTAAGTAAAAAAGTTTTTGTATGATCCAGTAATTGTCATATACTAACGTAGGCGGATTGGGATGAATTCGCTAGAATGCGAGGGACCCGACGCAAGTGTCCAAGCAATCTTGTGAGTATAACTTTCGACTGTTCCAGTAGAATATCCGTTGATCCCTGCACTCTCAGTTTTCTTGCGTCTGCATTGGCCCTGCATAGTCCTAGGAACCAGGTCCTTGATGCACTCTTGTATAGTTTGGGATGATTCCCAATGATGGAAATTCACATTCTCTATGTGCGGAGCAATGATTAACATGCGCTTTAAGAGTTATTAGCAAGATGTATTACCAAATCACTCTCATTCTGCAAATTTGTTAGTATTATAATAGCAATAACTATTATTATTATTGTTGTTCTTTGCCTTTTTCTTTCCGGGCGGGGGGTTGGGGGACGGCAGGATTGAAGGTAGCACGAGCAGCTCTTGGAATTACTGGCCTAATTTTTGCGAATGATATCTCAAGCTTTTCACAAGAGCCTCTCACTCAATTTATATGCGATGGAAGCTTTGTTTAGAGGAACTCTCCATTTTCTGGGCAAAATATGAATTTGACGAAGTCCAGAGTTTTTTTTGCAACAAATTTGGATTGATTAACACAACTTGATATCTGCCAGTAGCTTTCTTTTGCTCAAGAAAGCATTTGAGACTAGTGCAACCCTTGTTCATGCGACCTTATTCAAAACTAAGATTTCACCTATGCTAGAGATTAGGCGAGACGATGCTCTAACTTGTGGAAACAGACCTCCTTATCCCGAACAGGATGCTAAATTTTTCATCCAGCTGGTCATTTTGTTAAGTCCCAACAAAGAATTTCCCATCTTCCACTCTAGATGCGGACCTTAATTCAAAACATAATCGTTTTTTGGGTCAATTTTCTTGATAAACAAGATTAACACACGGTGCTTGCCTGTTTTAAGCAACATAACGCTTTTTACCTGAAGTATGCCAAACAATATCAGCTTTGCTTATTCTGACGCAAGATAAACCCCCACATGGTCATAGAACACCACGAATTGTGATCATTTTCGACTCTGGTCATGACAAATGTAACTGTTATAGGTAATGCACCATTCTACGACATATGGGTGTACCGGCTTCCAATCCTGCCACTCTCTCTTTTTCAAAAGAGAAACTTCATTCATACAAATTGATAATGCGCACAGATGGATCTAACGAAGTGAGTAAGGATGAATCAGAGAAAAACAGCTATACCCAGGTATTCAAATTAAGTGCAACACTAAAAGAATGAAATCCACGATAATAATTGGAAAGACAAGGATCTAAATAGAACTTTGAAAATCATCAGACTCCGTCTTTCTACCAGATGAAACAGTAAGTTCCAGAACAAATAGAAAGAAGTAGCCAAAAATAATCTAACATAGTTACTAAAGACACAAGGAACACCAAAATTTGTGTTCTCTTTGGTGTTCTTCATCATGGGTCTCACTTCTTTGCCTTCTTCGGTACCCTGAAAGCCAAATAAAATTCTCTCAGATAAATCCAACTGTGGATAAAGAGAAATCTGCCCATTTTGTTGCATATACTTACTCGGCTGCAGGTGCTGTAGCTGGTGGTGGTGCTGCTGGCTTCTCACCAGGTCCCTGTTCAATTAGACAAGGGAATCAATTTAGAATCCACCTATGATACATAAATACATTTTCAGTCTAGTATAGTAGAGCTTGTAATTTTGCTAGCTTGAATCAAAACCAATCATGTTCAATAAATGCACGAGTTCATGCATTCTGGACCCAAATACTAAATTGTGAGACAACGCCATACGAACTTGTTCCTTCAGATCAATCTTGAAACTTCACACTAATACTTCATACCAGTTGACAACTTCAGATCATTCTTGATCTGCACATCACCGAACAAATATTATAGGTGAATGAGCCTCCAATCACTAAATGGTAAGTCAAAATACCAATGATTTCATTATAAGTAGTAGCCCAAAACAAATGGTAAGTCGAAATACCTTCAATCATGAATGAGCCTCCGATCACTAAAGCTGCATATTGGATATTTTCCAAAGGCTAAAGAAGACAATGACCTTATATATCAAAAATAACTTTGCCCATTTTATGAACTGGCTAAGACAATGGTAAGTCGAAATACCTTCAATCATGAATGAGCCTCCGATCACATTGAATATTGGCTTTAACCACACTAACCATAGCAGAAGTGCTCCCCAACCAACACAAACAATCAACTATTGATTCATTAGATTAGATATCCAATGATTTTCAATTGGACAAAGTAGCAAAGCCAGCCACCCAGACAACACAATTTACAAGTTAACATCTAACAAATTCATTGTGGCTACTATTTCTAAGCTTTGAGTTCCACTAAGATGCGACTCTACTGGTACATCGGTACATCCACTCAAGACTGTGTATTGTTTGCAGATAAGCCCAACAAATAAACATAGTAGCCCAAATAAGTTGTAGTACATTGCTCGCAAATACATCCTATATTTTGGATTTCTCACTAGAGAAATGATCAGGATATTGAACTTTGGCAATAAAAGGAAGAGTAAAAAATTGCCTGTTTCTCCCGCGACAAATGAGCACATTCAACAGCAGGCATTTCTTCCCACCTCGAAACCTAGTGTTACAGAGATATCACACCAAGGAATTATTAAGTTTTTAGTGCAAATATTAGTGGTACTAAACATTGGAGTTTGTGTTATTGTCCACAAACTTCCGATGATATCTTAATGCTAATTAAAGAAACGATAAAAGTACTCGCATATTGTGCATAGTGAATCGCATCATTAGACTTCGAGCAACATTTCAATGCATGCAGGAGATCCTGGATTATCATGTATGAAACATTTCAGGGACAATGAAAGTAAAATCAAAGAAAGTAGATGGGCAAACTTACATATAGGAAATTTGTGATGTAAGCTTTACACCCAAATTTACATATACAAGAGAAACGGAAGGCATAGTTCAAGTGTATCCTATCCACATCTACATTGATTCAATGGATACACTTGTCTTATCAGATTGAGTGAAAACTCTAAGATTCTCATTTTTGCTTGTTAATTACAAAAGGCATAATCACCCTGTAAAAGTTGAAGAAATGCGTTGCTGAAATGTCTAGCTAAATCATCATCTACTTAAGTTGATCTTTGTTGACACCTGATTTTTAGCTCATTTTTCAAAAAATTTCAAAAATCACAAAATTAGGATTAGGAACCTTGGCCAAGGTTAGGAACCTATTTCTAAACCAAAAATAAATTTTTTAAAATTTTCTTGAAATTTTTCTTTAATTTCTTTTGGTCAAAATAAGAGAGAAAATCAAGAAAAATAGCAAATGGAGTACAAAATTCCATAAAAATAGTCATAGTCTTCTTTTAAATCTAATTTCATTAATACAGTGTCAATTTTAGAAAATTTCAATTGGGAATGTGTTTTTCCCAAAATTGGGTAAAAACAAGCCCAAATTGAATAAAAAATTCAATTGAGTCATTTCTAGTCATTTCTAGGCTATAATGTCTCACAACATATGATCCTAGTACCTTGAATTATATAATGGTCGGTCCAATTGCACAATTTACCAAAGAAATCAAAAAGCCCCAAAATCCAATTGAAAATTAGGGATTTTTAGCCCAAATTAGGGATCATTATTAATTTGAAATTGTCGAATCATGAGACCATCATTTCTAAGGTTAATCAGTAATGGGTAATCCAATTTTGGCATCAATTTTGCTCAATCAGGTCATTTAAGTACCGGATTGAATAGACCCCAAGTGACCCAGATTTTAAAATTTGGGAATTTTTGGTTTAATTGTGACAAAAATTAGGGCAAATCTCATGTTTTGATGCAAAATGTTCCAAGGAATTCAATTTTGAGATTAAATCTGAAAAATTGGGTCAAAATTAGGCTTAATTTGTGATTTTAGACCAACCCGGGTCGACCCGACCTGACCCGGGTTGGTTTCCTTCCTCACCCGACTCCTTAAGGCATTCTAAACTCAAAAAAATCAGCTCGTGCCCTCCTCTTCGGCAACTTAATCCAGCCAAATGAGCACATGTTAATCTCCGATTCCAGCTGGAAAATCTTCAATTGGCATCGGAGATTCGATCTAACCGATTTGGAATCGTTGATAACCAACTTTGGGCAAGAAATCGAACTACAAATAGAGGAAAAAATCATTATCCGTGGAGGCCAGATGTTCGACGATATTCTAGAGAGAGAGAAAGAGAAAGTTAGAGAGAGAAAGAGAGAGTCTGAGCGACGGAGGTGTGTTGAGGTTCGAAGGACCAAGTGATCAGTGTTTTTCCGGCGAGAAAAACGTCGGCAAATCGGCTCCGACGGTGAACCTCCTCACCTGGAAAAATTGTGCCGGAGCTAGTTGCCAACGCCAAAATCAAGCTCGGTCGGCGTGTCCAGAGCTACTCCGGCGAAGCCAAAGCCACCGTCTTGAAGTTCAGGTGATAGGGAAGAACTCTACAGTTGCCGTTCGGTTTGGAAATTCAAAATTAAGCTCAAACAAAAGAGGTAAAGTTCAGTCATGATCACAGTTTTTACAAAATTCCATATTATGCATTTGAGCTTTACCATGCTTGATCGTGTAATTTTTTTATGATTTTGAGTTTCTTAATGCTCAGAACATGTTTCTGATCACATTTTGTGTTGTTTGATTGCATTTGAATTGTTAAATGGGATAAACCGAGTCAATCCAACATTGAAACCACCTCGCCGGAGTTCCTGATCTTCGCCGGAGCTCCTCCTGTGATCATAGATCACCCAAGTTAGTAGTTTTCTCACTTTGATTGATATTTTGATAATGATTTGGGTCGAACTAAATGGTTAGGGCGATTAATCTAGTGAGCTGAATACCTTTAAAACAGAGTTGATCATTTTTTTAGGTTTAAGCTTTTTAGGTCAGTTTTTCGCCAGTCGGCGATGGTCCGGCGACGAACTGAATGAGTTGAATGGCTAGAGGACAATATGGAGTTAGTATATCATCAAGAATTGATGTCGGAAATGATCGGAAGGTTGTCGAAATTTGGTTCAAACCGACGGCCTTGATAACTCAAAACCCAAAATCACGTTGACCACCTGTTTGATGAAACACCAAAGCGAAATACCATGGAAACGACGTCGTTTCGGCGCTGTGCTCGTCGGAGCACCGGCCGGTCTAGTTTAATCCTCGACGGGAAAATTTTAAAAAATAAAAGAAATGAAAAATATTTTAAAAAAATCTAGAAAATTTAAAAAAATTCAGAAAAATTCAGAAATTCATAAAAACTAGAAAATTCAGAAAATTTCTAAAAAATTTGAAAATTCAGTAAAAATTTCAGAAAATTCAAAATTTTTCGGAAATTCAGAAAACTTAATAAAATTGGAAAATTTCTGCAAAATTCATAAAAATTCAAAAATTTTCAGAAAATCTACAAAAAATGTAAAAAATTCAGGAAAATACAAAAAAATATGAAAATCCAAAAATCCATAAAAAAATTTCAAAATTTCAAAATTAAAAAATATTCAAATAATAAAAATAGCTCTTAAGAAAAGAAATTCTCAGAAATTTTTCCGAAAAAAAAAATCAAATTACAATTCCAATGCTTATAGCTACTACCGATGGTTATAAGTAGTTAAAAATAAATGAATAAATAAATAACTTCTTGCGTGACTCCTAGAATTTAACAATATGTATGTACAAATGGTTATCAAAAGACCCACCGTTCGACAATCATGACTTTATCACCCGTCCCACGTTGACCGTTTCTTTTGTAGCTTGCAACTCCTCTTCCTTACGCTTGTAACAACCTGTACTTGTAGGCCGCTATCATTTGTAGCTTTCAAGATTTATGACCCCACGATTTGATGATCGTGTGCTGGCTTCATGATTGAATGGGTCATTATAAATGTAGCTGAAATTATTGTTATCGTGACTTGAACACTTATCTTGTTCTTCATCCATCGATCTTTATTTCAACTTTGTTTCCCTTGTCGACTGAACCAAATCTCATTAACCAATACTCGTGGCTCACCACTTAGTAATTTTCTCTTATATCACTTATCGGCAACTTCTCATTGCTTTTGTCGATTATCTATAGTTGCCGACCTAGAGGATTTAGTAAATTTTACCTCAATCATGTCTTGCTCGGCAAGTCGACGTTCAGGAACTTGGGCAATTTTTTGTTTCAACAGAAACAAACCCACCTATAAACAGTCATAAACAACTAGACTCCCATCAACAAGGACATAAATTAACTTCTCTGTGTGTGTGTGTGTGTGTGAGAGAGAGAGAGAGAGAGAGAGAGAGAGAGAGAGAGACGTATTATCGTTGTCCGAGGTTTGGATTTTCTTGTCACTGTAATCTGACACTGTTAACTCGGAACAAGAACGAGGGTTCAAAGTCAGCCTATTAAATTGTCCAGTAAGGCCAAGAGCATGATTATTAGAGAAAATCCAATTTTTCTCAAAAGAGCAACATACTACTTATGAAATTTAGAAAATTCAGTGGCGGCACTTGCATCCACTTTCCATAATTGAAGCGCCATCCCTGATTATAGTTGTGGAAATATACAGATGATGAAGACGACAAAATCGTTTTGCTAGTTTTACTACTATTTCCTCCTATTCATCTGTTCTTCTTTTTCCCTTCTGTCCCCTTTAAATCCTACATCGTTTCTCCAACTTTCTGCACGAAATGTTTTGTTTATCGGCATTCATTCAAAATAAGATCAAGACAGACCATCCTATGTTCTTCTCAAGCTATGAAATCAGTTCAACAAGCTTATGTCTGTCACTTCTTCTGTTTGTTTCTTTGCATGCTTAGTACCGGCCTTCAGATCATTTATACCCTTGAGCACCAACGCGAAAGCCGAAACCAGATTCTTTATGAACATTTTCTCTTCTGTTGCGGTAGAAATCTGGTCGCTGTAATTCCTCTTCTTTGTTCAGCCAACTTTCACGTCGTTTTTTCTTGAGAAATTGTGTCCTTCAACGCCATTCGAGACAGACCAGAAACTTAAATGCAGATGAAGGGTTTTAACCAAAAGTTTCTACTTATGGTACGGTGGAATTTGGTAGTCTCTTACCAGAAGAATATCGAGAGTATGTTCTCAAACGTTAAAAATCACAGTCGATATTCTGAAAACCATGTAATTGCATGCAAATGGGACGTTTTATTGGAAACGTCGCCAAAGTATGTTTTCAAAGGACGTAAATTCACCGTTAATGTTCTGGAAGTCATTATTCTCCCATGTACGCAGTTATACATACCACTGGCATATGAAAGGAACACGCGCATAAGTGCAGGACACACACTACTTGGTTCTCCCACGTACGAAGTCATACAAACCACAAGCATATGAAGGCAACACATGCACGTACGAAGTCATACAAACCACAAGCATATGAAGGCAACACATGCATAAGGAATATCCAAGCACCCGGCAAGAGCCTGTCATATTATTTCTAAACCGAACCCCACTAGGTCACCATCTCTTCTTACTAGCTTTCAGCAAGCCCAGTCCCAGATGCTTTCTACGTCGAAGGAGAGTCCGCTCCAACAATCCAACGATGCCTCCATCGTCTCCAAACGCGGTTCAAAGTCATCATCGATCCAGAGGCTTCTGTTTGGAGGCACGTCGTGGTCGCACGGCTCTCGGGACTCGTTCGACTTCCTACAGGCTTCGGCCCCCAAGGAAGACAGGTTCTTTGAGATGGTCCGTGGGGCGAGGCTTTATGACTTCAACTTTCACCAAATCTTGGGGTTTCTCGTTCTCCGGCTTCCCTTGGCAAGTCATCATTTTCCGGGCATGGGTGTTCCAATAGTTCTTCACATCGTTCGCAGTTCGACCCGGGAGTCTCCCCGCTATTAGCGACCACCTACATGAATAATTTCGACCGAACGAAATGTTACATTTGGAGGAAAGAAAGTTTGGTTCGATAAAGGATACCGGTTCATGTGCTTATCTTAGCAAATGCTATGAAAAGCTCTCGTTAGGTGCTTGTGTGTATACCTCACTTTATTTTAATATTTAAGCATGCTTACTATAATAAGTGGAGCTAAGGATGAGAATTTGCTACTCAGCACCTTTCCACCATCTCTTCTACTAAATTTATCTTCCTTCGAATTAAGGTTCCCCGAAGTCTAATGAACCAATCCATGGCAGTACTTTCTTTTTCTTTCCATAAGTGTTCAATCCCGATAGAATGAGCGTTTCCATAAAACAAGGAATGGGAACTTTCATAAGCTCTCTCCAATCTACGAGTTGCGCCGCTATTAGTTTCTTTCTCTTCTAATATGTTAGCACGAGTACACCATTAACACCTTTATATTAAATTCTTTAAATTTCAGAAACTAAGTGCCAAAATCAAGCACAAAAAAAATGAAATTTAGGATACGATTCACCTATTATACTTTTAAATGTGGAAAAAATGACCTTTCAGAGCCATAACTAATCAATATGTTGGTGCCTGATTTTACTCCATATCAAATGCAACCATGTTAGTGAAGTTGATAAAATGACTAAGATTTGGGTATGTTGGGTGAACCAAAATTTTAAGTGCTGAATTTTAAGTGTTCATAATCTTAATGATGAAAATAGAATTAATAATTGTTTGATGATAATTAAAAATTGATTGTTCTTACCAAACATAGAAAGAAGACGATTATTGGTAGGTTTTATCAGTCTATTGAGCAACATTCTAATTTCCATAAATTAATTTTCTATTGAATGAACTAAGTAATCATCTACTGGGCACGCGACTCAATGGTAAAGAAATTGAGTGGAGTCGAGACGTTTAGTTTCAGATATAGAGATAGACTTACATATTCTGCAAAGAGGTAGAACAAAAGTAGGACAGATAAAAAAGAAAATTAAGTAATCCCTTCGTTACTTACCAGATTAATAGATGTATGACTTAATTGAATAATTATAATATGTCCTAATTAAGATTATTAAACAAGTTTAATCTTATTAAGTGCTAAATTGTTAGTTTTCGGCACATAATTCGGTTACCAAAGAGGCACTAAGTAAGAATCTTCACGATTATAATGCTCACCTTGTCTCATATGCAAGAGTGAACTCAATCTACTGCGGTAAAACTAACTTTTCCTGTCATATGATAGTATAACTAATAATTGGCGGATTGCAAAATGATAGGTTAGTTCCTGCTTTTGTTTTCTGCCCTAAGAATGAAATGCATTTTAGCTCAATCTACTGTTTTTTGGTCTACATAAGCAGAATCTACATAGACAAATAATCTCTTGAGTTTCTTATACCTGTAACCATGATCGGGAGTGACTAGATCTAAGAACAATATATAAACCACCATGCAACTAGTAAGCAATCCCTCCCGAAGTCGACGACTAATGAGCACCATTGCTAGTACTCGGTTAATGATCGGTGAATGTGTGATATATACTAAACAGTATCTAGACGGTTGGATCTAATGGGTCACATTTCACTGGCAAGATCAATTATCGAACATACCTAATCCTTTGAACATTTCTGAAATAGAGAAATTGTCTCTTCCCACATAGAGAATCCTATCAGATAGTTTGTGGTAGTAATTCTTTCAGACTTTATTGGCCTTGTATCCTCCTTTGTCCTATCTAGGGGTGGTCATCAGACACAAGATGCACTCTAAATGGTTTTGCATATGTATGAGAGACTCAACATTGTCCACACATAGGCCAAAGTTGGAGACACATCTCCCTTTTCAAGTAGGGTCATTCATAAAATCGGATGCCTAATCCTTAACACAGTTTATACTTGCTGTTGTCGTTTGTTTCCATGGATGCAACCCTTAATCAATTTTTGGAGCGGGAAGAGAGTGAGGCTATCGTGAATAACGTAGGTAGGCTCAACACCATATAAGTAACTTTATTAAAACGGACTAATGCACTTCACATGTGACCTTTTCTTAGCATGTGTACTCGCCTGTTCCCAAGAAGTTTGTGAAGCTTGATGATCATATCGACCTCATCGTCTTGGAATTTCCCTCTCTTGATGTTAGGCTTCAGATAGTCCGACCACCTCAATCTGCAGCTCTTCCTGCACCTATTCAAACGTACAAGCTCAAGAAAAATGAACGTGAACTCAGCAATCTCTTTCTCTCTCTCTCTCTCTCTCTCTCTCTCTCTCTCTCTCTCTCTCTCTCTCTCTCTGCTGATGTGTATACATAGTACTGGGGAAAAGTGTCAAAAAAGTCATAAACCTTTTGCATTGATGCCAACTGAGTCTTAAACCTTTTTTTGGTGCCAATTGAGTCATAAACCTTTTGTCTTTGTGCCAATTCAGTCTTTCCGGCTAATTTTGACCGGATTTTGCTGACGTGGCAGCCGGCGAGCCGGTTGCCGGCGCTGACGTGGACCACTTTTAACAATATTTTTAATAGTTTTTTTGAATTTTTACTTATTTTTTATTCTTTTCTTTTCTTTTTCTTTTTTTTTTCCTCTCCCACCCTACCTCCTCTAGCCGGTCGCCGAACCGGTGATCGGCCAGAGGCCTACGAGGTTAACCTCGCCGACCACTGGCGAGGCTCGCCCTTGCCGGCGACGGCTAAGGCGAGCCTCACCATGGCTGGGCGAGGCTCGACCTCGCCAGATCCAGCGAGGTCGTACCTCGCCCAGCCACTGGGGAGGCTCGACCTCGCCAGATCCAGCGAGGTCGTACCTCGCCCAGCCACTGGTGAGGCTCGAGCCCTCGCCCTCACCAGAGGCCGCGACCAGCCATGGCGAGGGCGAGCCTCGCCAATGGCCAACGAGGCTCACCAGAGGCGAGGTTGACCTCCTCGCTGGCCTCTGGCCGATCGCCGGTCCGGCGACCGGCTGGAGGAGGGAGGGTGGGAGAGAAAAAAACAAAGAAAAAAATTCAAAAAAAATTCAAAAGAATATTAAAATACTATTAAAAATTGTCCACGTCAGCGCCGGCGACCGGCCGGCTTCCACGTCAGCAAAATCAGGCCAAAATTAACCGGTAGGACTAAATTGGCACAAAGATAAAATATATCGTTTGCAAGCAGGGTCGCTTTTCTTGATAAAAATGGAGAACTCAAGAAGTTTCACTTAGAGAAGTCAAACTTGATCTGACCTAATGCTATCATCTCGAAACTGACGTATGACACATCCATTCATTTTAACGAAAGAAAAACTTTGCACTGGAGTAAGAATTGTGATAACACGAATATTCGACAAAAATCAAATATAATGACCCGACACGAATTGCCAAGCTTAGATCCAAGTGGGCTATACGGATTCGGATGCTACAAGAAAATAATGGTCTCCATCCTCATACAAACTTATGCGTGCGCACATATATGCAAATAAAAAGCAAGAATAATCTTCAAATACAATGATACAGTACCTGCTCTCTGAGGAACTCGATGCCACGCTCCTTCTCCGTACCTTTGGATACAGCTCCTCAAGAGGACATCTTCCTCTTCCGTCCACGATCCTTTCCTCACTCCGAGCAACGAACCTTTCTGCATCTCTCTCTCTCTCTCTCTCTCTCTCTCTCTCTCTCTCTCTCTCTCTCTCTCTGTGTGAAGCTATCCCTGAACAGTTTGCAGATCATGTTTTTAAGTACACTCGAAGTCCAACGTTGTCATCGGTTCTTTTAGGAGCCACGTGCCCCTTCGCTTTTCACAAAAACGCAGATGTACGTCGGTGTCTAATACCGAGGAAAGAATGCAACCGTTCTCTTTGTCAATCATTATCATTTGCAATAGTACAAATGGATCTCTATTTCAATATGATTCTTTTCGCGTGGTTGCGTCCATTCAATCCGCAGGGTCTAATCTTGGAACGAAAATCATTTTAAAGAGCTAGAAAATTCATAGGAGACTTCGAACGATTCAGAAAAATCATATTCCTTTTGCAATGAAAAGAAAAATATAGAAATAGCTCGTATGGTACTCTCGGGTCGATCGTCCTAGCATTGCCATGGACCACCATTTTGTATGGTTTGTTTCCTAACTTACATTATTTGAGCTAGCTAACACTAACCATCGAGTTTACCCATTTTACATAAATATAAAATGGATAAAGTTTGCATGAGGCCGAATAACCTACGATTTGCTTTGATGTCACTTGGCAAACCTCTTTTGCTTATTTACAAGGGCATTGCTTTTGGTCAAAGTATCTTAATAGTGTCCTTTCGCCTGTAAAAGCATCTTAAATAATAACGCGATCCTTTATGTCTAGCGATACTAAACGTGCTTGTATTATTGTAGTAGTGTGCTTGAATTGTTACAATATTACCTTTGGCTCCACCTATATAAGAGCAACTTACTTAAGGCTCCGTTCGTTTGGCGGAAAATATTCTCCTTTTGGAAAATATTTTCCCGGAAGTCATTTTCCTGGAAAATGTTTTCCCGGAACATAATTTTCCGGTATTCGGCGACCAATATGAAAAATTTTTGGAAAATATTTTTCGCCGGCGCCGGCGACCGGCGGCGGCGGGCGACCGATGGCCAACGTCCGGCAACCGGCGGCGGCGGCGGCCGGCGACCTTAGTGAAGAAGAAGAAGAAGCTCCGGAAAATGATTTCCGCTTTTGAAAAAGCAGAAGTCATTTTCCATAGACTTATGCTATTTTGTGAGGGGGGAAGGAAAATATTTTTCCACGGAAAACGTTTTCCGCCCCCCGAACATCGGAAAACCCGGAAAATATTTTCCGGAAGAATATTTTCCGCCAAACGAACGGAGCCTAAGAAGTTGGAACAAGATTAGTGTTTTGAAAACCTCTTCTATATACAATTCCCTCTTGGCCTTCTAAGCACTTTCTCTTCAACCTCTAAGTTTGATGTTATTAAGAAGCTTAAGGTTACACATTAGTTCAATACAATAAAATTGGTTCCGAAAGTATGCTCTCTACTTGCCACTGGATCAATGAAGCAGGATATTTCGAAACTGAGAGCCTTATTATATAGATTAATGATTTCTAGAGACTAAGAGACAATTCCTTTGAAAAACAGAGAGAAAGGCCGTGTATTGTGGGATATAGCATAACTATCTCAGGAATCATTAGCTTATTCTATAGCACCATCATTGTTTCAGAGCTAGCTTCATCTAGATTGAGCTAAGATAATAACTCAATGCCTTATAATGTGTCAGTATTAAGAGGAAGATCCACTCCATCGTGACCGAATCTATAGAAAATACTACTCCTGTATATGTTGATACCCTTGTTATTTTAGACTCTCCAATCCCATTCCGTAAATCTACTTCCTCTAAGATCGATTATTTTTATGAGGTTTCCTACCTCAACGAAGATGGAAGATCTCCACTACTCAACTTCCTCTCGTAAATCTTTACTCCGCCTTTCCTAAGCCTGCTTCCTTCTCTCTCATCAAATCCATTAGAAAACCAATCCACCTTCAAAGGACATTGAAGAATAGATCAAGTCAATCCGCTTTGACCGACACTCCATTCTAGCTTGTTAAAATTATATCTCAATTTTGAGCCTATCAAATAGACATGATCCAAAGCATACAAATAATTTAAGTCCATTTTGGACTTTCATGAGGTCTTCGATTTTTTTTTTGCTTCCAACTTTGATTCTATCTGCATACGTAGAAGAAAGAAGCAGTATAAGGGTTCCAACATTAATTTCTTTAACTCTCACAAACTGCGAATGGGTTTCATTTAAGTTTGGCCATAGGAGAGAGATTTGTTCTTCAGCCACATATCATGTGAGAGATTTGTTGTTTTCTGTTGAAAATAAATGAGATGGTATACTTTTACAAGGCGCAACGGAGACATCTATCCCCTTCACGTGCAGTGGACCAGCCAGCCATCCCAGACCGTGGCATTTATTGAAGGGGGCCCACCAGCAATGATGGAGATACCTCGTCTTTGGCACTACAAAATGGGAAGCACCGTCACAAGAGAAGACACTTAGGGGAAAGACAACACGAATAAAATAAAAACAACAAATCATTGTGCTTTTGGAGTGGTCCATGGTCCTTTTGTTAATTTATGTTTTATTGAAAAAACGACATAAATGATCTTTAAATTTTGATCTAATATATAATATAATTTTTGAATTTTTAATTTATTCAATGTGGCCCTTAAACTGTGGCCTAATGTGCAATGTGATATCTGAATTTTTAAGTTATTCAATACGATTCCTGAACTTTTAGTACATATTCAATTGAGTACCTGAACTATATGAAAATGTTCAATGTTATTTTTTAACTTGAATTAATGAAAAGCAATTAACATTTTCATATAGTTCAAGGACTAAGTTGAACATGTACCAAAAGTTCATGGACCACCTTAAATAAATTTAAAAGTTCAATGACCACATTGCAAATTAGGCTAAAGTTAATAGACCACATTGAACTAATTAAAATTTCAAGGACTACATTACTCATTAGATCAAAATTCAATGACCATTTATGTCATTATCCCTTCTTCTATTTATCCGACCAGAAGGGACCCCCTCCTTGGGGTACAGTGAGATTTGTGATAAAAACATTATGGGTATCAGATGTAATTTTAGAATTAGAAACACTCGAGTGTGTGAGAGATTGTACTCATGTATTTCCCCAATTGATTAATGTATTATTTACAGCTGGCTCCGTGGATGAAGATATCGACACTTGGATCGAATCATGTATATTTCTCATGTCCTTTATTGTTCCTCATTTTATTTCTCTCTCAATTTCTCTCGCTCCTGATTTAATTGCAAAGATTTGAGTGACTTCCACGTCAATATATTACAACAATTGATATCAAAGTTAAGACTTTGCAATTATGTCTAGAACAAAGTAGAAATTGGGAAATTTAACGAAAGGAACAACTTTGGATTGTGAAGCGCTAATATGTGTGCGCTATTAACAACCCAACTTTGACCAAGGCGTTAAATGGCAAGTCTAAGTTGCCGGAAACGATGAAGGATACTAATAAAGACAAGTTAATGGAGAGAGCGAAGAGTATAATCGTGTTGAACCTATCGGATGATGTGATAATAGAAGTGGCTGAAGAGAAGGATGTCGCGGATTTGTGGGGAAAAATTCAAGCCTCTATTTAACAAAGGGTTTGAATAATCGCCTATACATGATAAAGAGTATGTTTGAGTTCCGATATGCTGAAGGTATATCCATTAGAACCAACCTAGACGAGTTTAACAAACTCATGATGGATTGGAAGAACGTCGTTGAGGTCTTAGCCGATGAAACCTAGGCATGATATTATTGGTCTCTCTACCAGAGTCATCGGAGCACTTTACTAATTCACTATTACGATGGCGTATTACGATTACCACAAAAGATGTAAAATTCGCCCTATTCTCTAAGGAGTGGCGGAAAAAGTTACATAATGACAGTCTAGCGCTGGATGTAGTGTGAGGATTGGTCATTCGAGGTAGATACGCATCGGAGGCCCAACAATAGAGATAAAAGCATATCAAAGCCGTGACATAAGAAGTGCAGGGGTCACGTGAAGTATTTTGAGTGTCACAAGGAGGGGCACATTATCCAAAGCTAAGAAATAAAGGTGGAGGACAAAATGCCTTAAGTAGTGCGGCAAATGTTACGGAAGGAGAGCACCAATGATGTCGAGGCCGTCCTTTGTGTGACTATCAATTCGTCAAGAGACGAATAGGTACTGGATTTTGGGTGTTCCTATCACATGACTCATAATAAGAAACAGGCTCTCAACTTATCATAATATAATTTGTGGTAAATTTCTTATGGGGAACAACGCAATTTGCAAGTTTGTGGGAATAGGGACATTCTAAATTCGGATGCATGATGACGTAGAGTGCACACTGACAAACAAGAGGCATGTAGTGGAGCTCAAGAAAAATCACATTTCTCTAGGGACACTCAATTACATCGATGCAAGTACACCGCTAAGGGTGGAGTACTGGAAATCTCTGAGGTGTCATGACAGTGATAAATGGGAAGAAGGTGAATTTTCTCTATCATCTACTAGACTAAACTGTGATAGGGGCTGCTGTAGTTTCATCAAGTGAGCTAGACTCAAAATTGACTCAGTTATGGCAAATGCAGTTGGGGCAGATGAGTGTGGCAGGTATGACGATGCTGAGTGAGAGGGGGTTGTAAAAGGTTAGAAGATAGGAAAGCTGGACAAATGTGAGCATTGCATCTTTGAGAAGCAGCGCCAAATTAAATTCAATATAGCTATTCATTCAACCAAACAATCGGTTGAATATATTCATTCAGATGTTTAAGGCCCATCTCTATTTTTTCTAAGGAGGTGCCCGATATATGGTAACGTTCATCGACATTTATTCAAGGAAGGTATGGGTACATTTCCTAAAGCATAAATGCGAGGCGTTCAATCGGTTCAAGAAGTTAAGCACTCATGTAAACAGATCAAGTACCTAATTAACGGCATGAAGTTTTATGGCAAGGATTTTATCGAGTTCTGCCAAAAAGAAAAGATTGTGAGACACGCACAGTTCTTAGGACACCATAGCAGAATGGCATTGCAGAACGGAAGAACAAAATTCTACTTGAGTGAGCTTGGTGCATGTATGCAGGACTGGTAATGAATTTTGAGCCAAAGCAGTAAACATTGCATGTTACTTGGTTAATCAATCTCCATCATCTACTATCAAATAGAAGACTCTTTAGGTAGTATGGACGGGGACACTTATTGACTGCACCGAATTACAAG